GGTCTCCATATGGTTCTGAGCCGCCGACCTGTATTTTGGCAATCCTCTCTTCCTGGCAATCAGGTCCTCGAGCACATCGATCACGTGGATCTTGTCCAACGCGCTGTCCGAGTTGTGGACCCTTATTGCCAGTGCCATGTTGCGGATTTCTCTGTTCACCGTCTCTATCAGCTCTTGTACCTTCTCCTTCGCGTTTCGACTGGTGAGTTTGTCAGAGGTGTGATAGAAGATCGAGCTGAAGATCGTGTAGTAACTCTCGAGGCGGGTAGCATAGACGTGATCTGACGGATCCGCGGCTTCACGCATGTTCATGCTCTCATTGGCCGACCCGGACAGGTTCCTCCATTGCTGGTAGGCAACCATAGTGTCATTGAGTCTGCCGCTGTTGATGAAGTCGCGGACGTCGTCCCATAAGTCATCGATCGCCCCAATCTCCTCAGGCTCCACAAGGTAGCGAGAAAGGTTGCTGAAAACCCCACTCGCATCGTTCCCGAAGCGCCCCTTAATGGTGGCCATGGATAGCTTATAGCGTCTTGCCAAGTCGCCAGTTTTCTCTTTCTTCTCTTCCTCGTTCATGTAGCCCACTAACTTCTTCAGTGAAGCGGTCAAGAACTTGGTGTCATCGGATTTTGTCCTGGACATTGCATAGTTGATGGATAACGGGACGAGCGGAGGAATGCCGACGGCAATCCATGCTTCAACCACATCCAACCCATGCGTACTCCTCGACATCCTTGGAGGTACTTGGGTGGGCGGCCTTGTTGTTATGTAGTTGGCAGACTTGGCTGACTTACACAAGTCAGTTGGTTGAGTTAGTAAGTGCTCCGTGGGGCAACATGCTATGTTGTCCTTGGCCTAGTTGTCGTATGTAGGCCAAGCATGCCTGGCAGACTTGCCATCTAGATCACTAAGTGTGCCCGGCCAACTTACGAAGTTTGCTTAGTACGCCAGGGCGGACTTACCAAGTAGGCCGGGGCAGACTTGCTAAGTAGGCCGAGGCAGACTTGCTAAGCAGGCCGGGGCGGACTTGCTAAGTAGGCTGGGGCGGACTTGCTAAGTAGGCCAGGGCAACTTGCACTCCATTTCCTCATTCTCACTCGCCGGTTGATGCCCTCGGTTCTGTGCCGCATTTGCAGGCGTTACAGGCGCATTTGTAGTAGTAATTCCATCAGCTTGCACTCCACCTTTAGAAACCCACTTGCTACATGGTCTGGAAACCGATACTGTGTGCAAAAAACTGTTTTTTTGAGAAACGTGTGTTTGTCCATTCAATAGAAACACTTTCTGGAAAGAACTGTGTTGTTAAACTCGGAGGCTTCCCCTTCACATTTTTCTATACTTTTAAGCAGGTTTTTTCTTGGGGCCTCCGCGCCCGCTGTGCCTGCGTTGGATTGGCAGCCTGCCGGAAGCGAGTTCGTTTGAGACTGTGTCTTATATATATAGATATATGAAGGGAACCAATTTTACAGAATGATGTCTGTGGACTTGATATGATGATGCGTGGGCCACATCACTTTGCATAAGTTCAACCCTTTTGTGGTTTGTGGTACCATTTACACCCGTCATGCCACCACCAAATCACGGAGGCTTCTCAACCACACTGGCGTCCGAAAAACAAGGACAAGGCTACTCCATGGTTGCATATACATGTGGACTTGCAGGTGAAAATTGAACCTTCTGAGTCCCCATGGGCAGATCCCGCAACTCGGAATACCAGAAATGTTTTGATCGAACGGGTTTGTTACAAAAATGCCTGCTTTCCTTCACAGTTCACCAATGCAAGGCAGAGACCCTCGAACCGACGGACAAAAAATGAGAAAGTTGACACGCTGCCGAATAAACTCGAAGTTATTTGAACAACAAACTTAATGTGAATTGCAGCACATATCCGGGATTGTTAGTTGACCGCAGGCAGGAGCCGCCAAAGCGTCTCTAAAAAAGACACATATGCGCACACACACAAAAGAGAACACGTATATATATATATATAAACATAAATATGTACACACATCACTCATATATACTTACGTAGTTCGAACATACTTCCGGGATTGTTAGCATCAAAACTTCAGCAAACGCGCGTCAAACAATTCCTGTTCTTGGGCCTCATGACATAGAGACTTCCAGGGGGTCAGTCAGTTTCAGAGGAATCGTTTGGGTCTTGAAAAATATAATGTTGTCGCGTTGTCAAATCTGGCACGCTTTCAAAAACAGAAAACAAACATTCTTTGAGTGCACAACAAATCACGAAACAGATCATGTTGGGAGAATGGATGTTCGCCCTCACACTGCTGATTTTCACTGGTCGCCACAACCACGTAAAAGGGTTGCAGGGGCTTAGGTTAAGCAACGGGTCGCTCACCTACAGAGATCTAAGATTCGAAAATCTGTGACTTGAGGTCCACAGACTTCTGGGTTCGCATCTTTTCCTTTCACACATCATCCCAAGTAGTGAGCGGCGCAACCAAGAAGTGACCATCTCGAGGAGAGTAAATGCAGGTGTCAAGGATGGAAGTAAGAGGGCACAGCATGGCTTTACCACCATCTTCAAATGTGTTTTTCCCAATCCCTCTCCATTGCTTGACGCAAACGAAATCTTCACAGCCAACGCAGGCAAAGAATTGAATCTGTCCCACCATTCTCTCCGTGTCGCACAGATAAAGGACCACATCACCAGCCCCAGCAACAGCCCCCGGTGAAAACACCCCACGAAGCGCAGCCATCACAGCACCATCAGGCTTGCCACACGCAGTTCTCAGAAGTGATGTCAGCTTCTCACTTGGGTGATCTGGGTTCAACAGTCCAACCCTCAATGGACCAACTTCGCCTTTGTGAAGCTCTCGGAGTTGCAAGCAAAGAGCATCAGACATGACGCTTTTCTCCCAACCAGCCCAGGTGTTTGTTGCCAAATTAGCAAACTTTTTTACATCTTTGTGTTTGCGCTCGTGGGTCCAACACGATATGAGACCTTCGTGAAAGGAGTGCATTTTGCCCAAGTGGGAACTGTAGTGGTGTTTGGGAAGGAATTTTTCCCCGGTATATGCCTTCAAATAGCCGCGAAGGTGATCTAATATTGCGTTGTGAAGAATGCTGGAATGCGTGCTCCCCTTTTTAATGCCCTGAAGTAGGTCAATGACCCTGGCAAGCCTCAGATAACTTTCAATCTCCAACCGGCACGCACCAAACTCATGCGCCTTCTGCGCAAACAGGAATCTCAAGACCGAATACAGGCTCAGACCTTCACTAGCAGTGCACTTTACCTCGGCAGACTCTTGCTTCTTTTTGAACACCTTTTGACCAGTCACAGACCGGCTTGACAAAGCTGAGGGAAACTTAAATGGTTGAAGGTCTTCATGGAGGTTCGATTGGTTGTAGTTGCAACGCTCACTCAAACGTGACAGCAAGAGGCCAGTCTCGTGATTCCAAATGCCACTTGACAAGTACGTATGCATCCAATCGAAACACAGGCAAGATATGGGCTTTATGGAAAGCTGTTCACACATCAATACACCATCCAGGTTGAGGTTCCAACCTGTCAATTGCTGGGCACGATTGAAAGCTGCTTTGGATGCGTTTCTTTTCTTTTCTGCTAACAGTCTCAATGTATCTTGCACAGATTGGTCTGAATGTGATTGCACCAAACTTGTGTCTAAAGTTGTTGATGGTACGATGCGCCCAGTGCAGTCGTGAAGATGCATCTCGCTTCGATGGTCGCAGATGTTTTGGCATAGCGGGCACAGCACAGTGCCTGCAGCACCTCGAAAATCTAGGCTTTCCTTCAATGCAGTCTCGTCGCCGACGAGCATGCTGACCTCACCAAAAATGACCCGCCTTTCAGAAGGAGGGAGAACAACCTGAATTCCGGCACGCAGATCGAAGGGCTCATAAAACTTGGTCAAGGCCATTTTCAATTATTGACCTGCCTTTCCAGGTAGGTTTCGGACAACTTCTGATCGGGCTGTGCTCAGCAGAAACCAGCAATTCTCCGTAGAAAGGGCTGGCAGACCATGAGCCTTGAAGCTCCAGTAAATTACGTAGGTCTTGCGTTCGTTCGCATGTTTCAAAACGTTTCCGGGTGAAACCTCGTCATTGTATGCAATGATATCTAATTTCCTTTGGAAATCAGATGGGTGACGATCAAGCATGGCTCTGAAGAAGGTGGCGTACTCATGACAATTCTGGCTTATGTGGTAAATAAGCGCGAGCGGGTTGACGAAAAAGAAAGTGGCCACATCTGGCTTCGTTTGACCCTTTTGCAGCATCAAAGTTGCTTGTTCACTAACCAGCAACTTTCCGTAAGGCGTCTCTATGTCTAAACTGTCATCCCTCGCCCTCTTGATGCTTCTTCGAGACTTTGCGTCTGGTAGCCCTTTCTCCTCGATCTCTTTCAGGATTGCGCTCAAGGCAGACTGGGAGACCAGCTTGCTTCGGCCAATGTCAGCAAGAGCCATGACATGTCCGCTACGATTGCGCTCACAAAAAAATGTTATCTCTTGCGATTAAAGTTTCATGGCATGTTCAGGTTCAATGCATGACTGTTTGATGTAGCCCCTGTCAACTGACCATAGGTGGTTTTGATTGGTTTTGTATGTTTCTGCTGCGAGCTCAAAAGCCCAGCCACTGCGAGCCCACGGGACCCAGCAAACAGCAAACCCAGTGCCATGTCAATCAAGGTGTGAACCTGAAAAGTAAATTGAACAAACAAGGACTTTGTTTGAGGGTAATGAACGGTCTTTCAGCTGATGTTCTTTTGAAGAGCCTTTGACAGCAGTTCTTCTCAAAGTGTGTTCGGTGTTTGGAGAGAGTTTCCAGAGTATGTCCTTGAAAACATTTTCCTCCCACTCTGAAACACCTGAGCTTGCAACATGAGACCAACTTTTGAAACTCCGACGTTGATCATCCTTGATCCAATGCTTGCATTGCAAGCTCTTTACATCCCCAAGTTCCTGCAGGATGCACATGCATCCTATGCACCCCGGGACAATCTATCCCAAGTGAAACTATTGGCCCTCTTCAATCATCCGCAAAGCCCTCACAAAGGCTGCCTGACAGTCTCCCTTAAAGGCGACCTTCTTGTCATTGCGGTCTCCCGCGCAAAGGAAGACCCTCCAGCAGCTCGCTCGATCTGATCGATGAACCTTGCCACCGCGCCAAAAAAAGGTTTGCCCTGCCAGGGGGGCCTTCTGCTGCTTTGCTGAACCATGTGGTTGCTTTTCAGAGGATTGCGGCGAACCCTTCTTGCAAGATGTTTGTTTGGGAGTCTTGGGTGGGGAGCTTCATTTGGACTGGTGTCCTTCTCCTCTTCCCTTTCAATTTTCCTGGCTTTACTCCTTGCGTTGAAGGTGCCAACCATGGCGTCCAGTTGATCCTTTGGATCAGCAGGCTGCTTCCCCTCTGGCAACTTCAAATCAAACAGTCCTTTCTGCTCCTGTTCTTCGGCAGGTTGCTCTTCCTGAGGCTTCTTGTGTTCTTCGGCTTTCCTATCTTCCAGCGCCGGCTTCGATCCGGCTGACTCACCAGTTGCTGATGGAGCATTGGCTAAAGCCTTGTTCTTCCGTTTCGATGCAAACACTTCCAACCCTGGGAGACCATCTTGACATCCGCCTTGGCCCTGCATCATCTTGGAGACCGCATGCATGATCTGCATGCAAAATGACTCGCTACTCATGGCTGAGCTGCCACTGGGTTTCGCCGAACGTACCATGCTGTGCGTGTCACGGTATGGTACCACATGAGCCTGGACCCCCATCATTGTGACCCCTTTCTCTGAAGGCTTCTCATCGGAGTAGGCTGCATTGTAGAGTTCTTGCGGTAAGTTTTCTGGCTTTGCCGGGTAGCTCTCCAAGTGGGTGGAAGATTTCGGCATATGCTTGATCGTAGCCCTGAGCTTTGTTGTGAAAGCCTTCAAAATGTCATGTTTGTCCTTCGCGGTCGGCGCAACCAATCCACCTTAGAATCAAACAAGCCGCACCTTCAACGCATCTATATATATGTTAGGTGAAGCGAAGTGACAAAGGAAGAAAATGCACACAAATTAAACAATCTGGGTTGCAATCCACTGCAGTGGAAACGATGTGCTTCACCGCGCTCGTGGAAGGCAAGTGGAGCGACAAAGAGACGCACCGCTGAACCAACTTCTCGACCTTCACCAAACTGTGAGTGTCACTCTGCAGGTGCTCAAGGTCCGAGTCTGTCAAGTAGCATGGAAAGCTTGTCATTTGCTGGGATGGCCTTCTTCCACCCTTTGTTGGCAGGTCGCCTGCCAACCCCTTGGCCAGCGCTTGCCCCAGCTCTCCCTTCTGGGCATGTGTCCATGGCCCGTTCATCAACACGGATGACAGGTTGGCGCCCTCTCCAGCGGTCAATTTGGCTGCCTCCAGCCTGCTGGTGAAGACTTTGACTTGGGCTGCCATCAAGTCACTGAAGACCTTTTCACTCATCATTTCCTTCTGGTTCAACAGGAACTTGTGCATGTGCACCAAATCTGCTTCCAAAGCCACAGCCATGAGGAGATTTGGGGAAAGCCAAGCGGGAGCCATCTACCTGCCCTGTAACAGCTGGAATGTTGCGAGCAATGCCCAGCAACATGAGCGAGCGCAAGCCCAGCCATGCATTACATGTAAAATGAGTACAGACCATCAATCCAACAACATCTCAACAAAACTGATTCAAACTGCACAGACAGAGCATCATAATACACAGGTCTTTCCATCTCACCCCAAAAAGCAAATCAAACTGCACCCCGCTGAATTTGACATCAAATGAACCGATCTTCACAATTAGAAGTGTCCTTACACATGCAAAAAGTGATCAAATGGAGTAACAGGCATGACCCTTCTGTCGAATGCTGGGCGCTCACCCGCTAGCTGGGCACACAATGCTCGCTGGGCACACAGTGCTCGGCTTTTTTCATCGATGAAGTTTTCATGATCGGCAGAAAGCCTTGCAACAATATTCAAAAACCAATGCGCTCTCAGAATACTCCTCTTTGAATGACATACCAAGCTTCACTTAGCACAAGAGAACTTGAAGCGCAACCTGTTTGTGTGCGTGTGTGTGTGTGTCGACCTAAGTTTATTTGAGTGTTGCAGGAGATCCTTGGCGCGTGAACCATGGTAACAATCGACCGGCCGCACTTCACGGCGGCGCTCTACGGCGACGCTTCACGGCGGGCTCTGCAGGCTCTGCGGGCTTCATCACGGGCGGGCGCCAGAGGTTGCCACGCTCTTCCGACATCAGGTAGAATCCTTCCTGCATGGTCGCCTCGTCCTTGGCCACCAATGCGAGCAGCAGATTTGCGAGTGCAGAGGGAGGTCGCAAAGGAGAATCCGCTGGCACCACTGACACATGGATCCGCTCTCCCGTCAGCGCCTTCCTCCACACCAATGCCACCTTTGTCTTCTCGTCGTTGAACACAGTCTCCACTGTGACTGAGCGTTTGGCACGCACCCTCCTATGCACCATGTCCTGGAACATCGGATTCTTTTGCCCGTAGCAAACAATCTCTCTGCCGTCACTGCCTTGGATGGACTTCACATAGGTGCTCTGGAAGCCTGCCCGTAGTTCGTGAGGTTCAGGAACAAAGGCCGCTTTTCCTCCAACCGCTCAGTTTGCCAATGCCCCACCCTTCTCCATTCTCGCGAATGGGGTAAATCCTTTGCGGTCATATCAGCAGCACGGACGCTCACAAAGGCGCACTCCCACATAGCCGCCATCACGCTATGGGAGACAAGGTCTGCAAGTGTCGAGCTACACTACAGTGTTCAGTTTCCCAGCTTGGGCCAGGTATGAGCGAGAAAATCCCAGCTCAAGCGAGCACAAGGCCCAGCTACGTAAAGTTTGAACGTCAATGCAGCTGCACTCAAAAAACAAAGGTTGCCACACATGTGCATTTTCTTGATGAAAAGGAGGCTTTCACAAACACCTAAATTTGATCAATTGTCGAAATGTCATAAACTCAAAAACCAAATGCTATCAAGGTGGTACTATCAAATAACACCACCTTGAAATGGTTCTGGAAAGCCCTTTCTTTTTCACTAAATTGCGGACATGTTCAGGACTATTGGATTGAACAAACATGTACTGTAGTGAACAAGCCTTGGGCAAGCAACTTCTACAAAAAACTGATTACGGGAGAACGCAGTGCCATCAATGAAGAAATTATGGGGTAAGAACACAGGTTAACAGGTTGGAGGGGCTCCGTTTCTGAAGGGATTACTGTAGGTATCCCAAACCTTGCAGGTCTCTTCCAAAACCCTTCCAAAACCACCAAGACGGCTGGTTGTAGGTCCGGAGAACGAAGGAAATCGCAGATGAGATTTCTTACAGGTCAATCTGCCTTTGTTGGGACGATGTAGGGGTGAACTTGGCTCGCAATGGAATGTAGCGGGGGAACATAGAGATTTCACTCGCCTCCTGGACTTCGGGGTCAGGTTGAGCCCTCAATAACCTTTGAAAATGATCGTTGCCTTCCCACCCACTCCCCATCCCCTTTGACATCCAGCATGTTTACGACACGCGCTCATGAACTGTACTGCGCACGGATGGTGATCAAGCTCTTGCCAATGCACCTCTGAGGCCTAGAGGCTACTGTTGTTCAATGTATTGAAACGAAACTTTTGTATATAACTTGACAATCACCAATGTGATGGGAATACATAAGTTTTATAGATTGTGAACTGGAATGCATAAAAAAATATAGATTGATTAAAAAACATAAAGTGAAAATAGTAGAATATTATAGATTGATAAAAAACTATGAATTGATAAAACTAAAAAATTATAGATTGATAAAAAACTATGAATTGCAAAAACTAAAAACATATAGATTGATAAAAAACTATGAATTAGGAAAGCTAAAATAGTATAAATTGATATAAAACAGGTTTTCTGTACGTTGCTACTGAGGCATGTGACAAAAGCTTCATCAGCGCCGACTCCATCCTTCCCATGACAATTTCTTCAAAACGACACTTCTTGCATCTGTGTGTGCAACTTTCACTAAGGTTGTTGTGTTTGAGAATAGCTGTGCGTACACCAAACCTTGATGGGGACAGCGTCTTGAAATCTACAGATCATGGGCAATCTGGTTTTCCAAATGATCAAGAAACACCTGGCTTTTCATGGCCATCCACGTGAAAGATATTGCAACTCTTGGCTATTCATTGTCACTTTGGAAACCCTAGCTGGTGTTCTCGCATGTGTCGATGGCCATCCAGGTCGTCAAACACGAGCAGGATGCCACTTTTGGCTAAATCCTGCATTCCTCAAATCATCTGCAGTGACCCATCACTCAGGCTGGCAAGCTTTGTCAAAGCTTGCAAGATCAATGTGAAAAACGTTTGATAAAGGCTGAATTGAATCAAATTTCAACAAGAAGGCTTCAATGCTGAGGATGGAGGAGCAGCAAGAATTGCAGGATACTGCCACGACGTCCCGTTTCTCAAAACTGCCACCTATAGACCAGATTGTTGCAGTGACACCGGATTCCAAAACAAGGAGCATGGCTTCCCTATACTGTATAGTCACTGTCCCTTTTTGATATTCATTGAATGTGATGAGATCGCCAAGTGTCACGATGAAGCAATCGTGGAAGCATTATAGTTGCTTCAATTTCCAACTGCGTGATCCAGCCGATCAATGACACTATGTATAGAATGCCAGGTCACCCTGAAGTACAGTATTGGCCCCAAACAAATGTTCATGCGCTTTCAAATATCTCTTCAGGATGTTGCATCTCTGAAAGGTGAAACTGCTTCCCAAAAAAAGAGAAAACTACCGGCGCTCCGCCATCTTCTCAACGGCCTTGGCCATGCGCAGGTTGGCATCGATCGCCTGCGACGCCAGCTCAAGGTAGCCCTTCTCCCTCTGGACTTGCTGCCCCCCTCTCCTTCGTGAACGCTCTCGTGCAGGCTGTATCCTAGCCAAATGATAGAATTCAAATCTGTGTTCACAAGCTCAAGTGTTGCTAGTTTTGTTATTTATATAGTCGATAGATGTGTATTGATTATGTTCTCGTCCAGGCTGTCTCATTTAGATAGTCTTAGACGTTATGTGCGTTTTGTTCTAATTGGCCTATTTCTGAACATTATATACCAACACCATGAAATCACAGAGTAAACTGTTCCAAAATCACTGCAAGCATCGGCTTCTCGTGTCCCCAGCTGTCGATGTAGATTTGCTCACCTCTGTGGTTGTAGCTGTAATAGCCGTGACCCTTCCGTTGCCCACGGCCTTTCCAGCCTTTTCCTTTCCCCTTGGTGCCACGGTTCTCCCAGCCGGATGACCATCTCGATGATGACGCCGATGAAGCCACCTCCATTGGAGGTGGGGGTGGTGGAGGCAATCTCGGTGGTGGCACCGGCGGTGGAGGCAAAGGCTTGACCCCTTCCTCAACTTCTTCCTCAACCTCCTCTTCTTCCTCGGGCTCTGCCTTGGCTTGCTCATGCCAAGCATCGTATGACCACCACCACCAGCTTTCGCTGGCATCCCACTCCCATTCCTCCTCCTCCTCCTCCTCTTTCACGCGCCACTCCTTGACTGCTTGGGGAACTTCTTCCTCTCCATCATTGGCCAGCGAATCCCCCATCATGTAGGGATCTGAAGTCACAGCTTCACCATCATCAGGATCAGCCATGACGGCAATCCGGAAAGATTGAGGGAAGGTGGTGAGTATAACAACGTTGTTTTACAGCCTCTCAGTATCTACCCTGATTGTCCGATACCGGCTTGTTCAATGCTTCATCTTTTGTTATTCATGGTGCTGCGTGTTGAGATCATGTGAAATCTATGGATACATAAGGGGAGATGTTTTTACATGTTGTTGAGATTGATGAGTATGGATTGCCAGACCTGCTTCCTGAAAAAGGGTTGCGGCCTCATTGAGCCTGCGGTCGAAAACACAAATCTCCTCTCCTCTCACCACTCTCCACTAGAATTGCAATTTTGCAAAATGATATACAACTACATACGGACTCTAGTTTCACATGCGCTGCAGCTCAAGCTTCATCTCTGGATGCCCAACCTACAATACTGCAGAATCGTGACTGGTTCAACTGATATGAATACGCACACGGCTTGCCTATGACATCAACTAGCTCAGAACAGAACAGCTTGAAGCAGCACTATTTGTTTCCAAGATTTTGTTTTGCGTCGATGAATCCCCGCATCAATCCACCAGATTGACTTTCCGAAGACCTCCCCAGACAGTACACTTTTTTTGTGCCAGAACAAAACAATAGATCTCTATATATATATATACTTGGGGTCGATCCAGTGTTGGGGTCGATCCAGTGGCCAAAGTATTCCAAGGATACAAACACAGTGAACCTGATCCGAATCCAACTTGACAGAGAAAACTGACGAGGTCTCCCCAAATGGCATCTCTTCTGCCGGAAACATGGCGAGAAAGGATTGGGTGAGCGTTTCATAAACAGCGTCAACCAATCAAGCATTAAGATCAAATCATTTGCTCCCCATTCCGCTTTCGACCCTTCATAGGTGTAGACGTAGTCGTCTTTTTAATGCTCCCAAGCTCCTTGATGCCATCTTTCAAGTGGTCCAGGACCCCTGACTGCATCTCAATCCAAAGAGGGTTTCTGCCGACTCCCCAGAGGCACTTTACTTCACCCTCCTCGAATTGGGCTGTTGATGGAAAGACAATGGACACCCATGCAGGAGCCAGCAAAGAATCTGACTTCTTGGCTTTGCGCGGCCGCTTGCGAGGATGACATTCAGCCTCTTCCGGGTTCTGGGTCACTTCTGCAAAGGCATTGTGGCTGGCCTTGTTTCTCAACTCCATGATCTTGTCAATGAATGCTCCTCCAATCGTATGCCCCTTGTCCTTCCTCAAATCAAGAGCCTTCCCCGTGACAAAGCGAGTCAAGTCCCGGTTGAACCTGGAAATCTGGACAAAGGGGATGTCATTCACAACGCAAACCTCTGGGTACCAAGGATGCTTGGAATTGCAATCATTGGTGATCTTGTAGATGGTCTCCACTTTGCAGGTCTGAGCCATGAAGCGAGCAAGATTGCCCAGCTTTGGCGAGCGCAATGGCACAGCCGTTTCAATTGAGACAACTTGAGACAGATACAGCCATACAATTTTCGAAGTGGTATGTGTGCACACATGTTGGTATGGACTAATGCTGAATCGCAACTGCGAACGTGCGCTTGGCATTTCCTACGGAACCTTATCCAATGCATCCAAATTCCATAGGTACGCGCTAGAAAACGTGAGGGCCACTAGCTGCTGAACATTCTTTTAGTTCTCGACAACGACAAGCACACACCTCCAACTAAATGTCAATGCCAAAATTGCAAACAGTTGCTTAATGCTTTGTTTGATTTTGTTTGTCTAGTTTTGCCAAATCGAAAAAGGCCGTGCACAGAACATCATCACTGCAGATAGTTGGCTGCTCATCCACTCTCTCGCTTTTGGACAAGCGCAATCACTGAAGTATGGCATCAAGGCCTCAAAAAACATCCGAAGAGACTTCAAGTCCTTACCTGACAAGAGTAGCATGCCTGGACGTAACCACAAACCGAAACCACTAATAACACATTTACACGACCATTGTTCTTGAATGTTTACTCAGGCTGCTTCCCTGTTCTCCGCTTTTTCAGTGGAGAATAGCGCACTATCTCTTCTAGGCTTTGCTCTGAAGAACGGGGCTCACGGTAGCAAACCAGAGTCTCATTTGCCTTCACATCTTTGGTGTTCACCATCAGCGGAATTACGATCTCGACATCTTCGAGCTTGTTGTCGTGTTGCACGTATGTGGACAGATCAGGCGAAATCTTCATGTTCGCGTCCTCTGCTTTCTCGGTTGTTGTGACAAACCAAAAAGGAGGCGCAAACCCACGTCCCGTCTTCGGCAAATCCATTTGGGGCCCCAGATAGAATTTGACTGGTGCATCATCATCGTTTCTCACAAGGGTGCCCAGAGGCACCAAACAATTGGAAGTGGGCTCCTTGCCTTCAGGAAAACCATACAATCTGGTTGTCCCTGGAACTAGCTTCAAAGTGCCTTTCTTAAAGTCTTTGTTCGCCACTACCGACTTGGTTGGTTTCGCATACACGGTGAGGTGCTTTGTCGTGTCGTGGTGATCTGTGCAGTGGGCAATGATCTCTATCATGGCAACTCCCCTGAGGTAAGCGTGAATGAACTCATCATTGAGCGGCGGTTGGTGCTCCCAGAGAGTATCAATAACAAGTTTCTCTTTTTTTGGAGTGTACTTGGTCCACTCCCGGTTCAAAAACGATCTGACATGCACCTTGCATCGACCTGAGAGCAAGCCATCCGAAATCGTGATGATCACATTGTCACCCTCAAAACCCTCGATCTTGGCCTCGGTCTCGTCAGCTTTCCGTACCACATATGACCCCACCACAAAGCCTGCGTCTTCAATGAGTTTGGCCTTGGAAACCAAATTGCCACGGCCATCGTACGTCCGCATCCTCAGTGAAAAATATTGGAACAAGTTGGTATACTGTGATTCAACTTTCCAAGTAAGCGAGCATTGTGTGCCCAGCTAGCGGGCGAGTGCCCAGCATTGTGTGAACTTCCACACCTAGATGATAGATGTTGGGTTCTAACTTTTAAGTGATTTATATGTCCAAGTTTCATAGCGATACAAGCTTCACATGATTCCGAGTTTCTCTCCAACGAAAAACAATTGAGTATATGAAAGCTCAAAACGAGATTCTGGACTGTCTCCTCATGGCCACTGGACTCCTGAGGGGCACCATCATCTTCCTGGAATGAAATCCATTTGGTAGTGAGCTCACGGCCATCTACTTCCTTCACTTTCATGACGCACGCCTGAGCGCAGTGCTCTAGGCTCTTGAACCGGTCTTTCTTGTCAAGGATCACTTTGATGCATTCGTGCTCGAAAAGTAGGACCTCAGTCCAAACCTCGTAGGGCAAAGCGCGGCCTAGATCACGCATCTCTTGCATCAACTTCTCAGCAGCCAAAGTCAGGTGGAGGGAAGCTTGGCTGAACAATCTCTTCACATCAGAGGGCACCACCGTGTTCTCATCAGCTATGTAGGCCAGCCTGAAAGCAGCGTGGCGAACCCTGAGAAGTGGTTCTCCACCACGCACATCTTGACTGAGGTGATCCCAGAATTGGGGGCCTAGGATTCTCTGCGAACTGGCCATTGATTTGACCAAGCTTTCGCTCTCCAGAAGGTCCGTGCCGGCAGAGCCTCCGCCGAACTTCAGCATGAAGTTCCACATGAAGGGCACGCTGGCTGCGCAAGCCGGCTTCGATCTCAAAATCTGACCTCTCACATCGTGAAACGAGATGGCTGTCGCCGTTGCTGTTTTGGAGGCCTCCATTTGCCAAGTCTTCAACAAGCGCCTGAAGAGCTGCAGCTCTCCTTCTTTTCGCTGCAGCTGGCTGCTTGTGTTGAAGGCCTGCTGGAGAAGGTGTGCTAGGGTTGGGTAAGCAGCCACTACGGCGTTGCTCACAATTGTCCACATCAGGCCTCTTTCAACCGCTTCAGCGAAGTTTGCATCATGTGAGCGCAGCTGGTGCAGCGACAGCTTGCCGTCCACAAGCAACACTTCGTCCCCAACATGTGGCATAGAGGCTGCGAAGAGCCTCAAAGCCATATTCGTATGGCTGCTGCTCAAGCTTGCAAACTTCACTGATGCTGGTTCCACTGGTGCCAAGCTGGTGTGCTTGTCCGTGCCACTCAACATGACCAGCTTTTCGTTGAAAGCTGTCACTTCCGCAATCTCAGTGGGATCCTGCAGCTCCACTGCCACAGGTTGTGGTTGGGACCAATCGAAGCCTACACTGACTATGTCAGAAAGAAGAGCACGCACATCCGTGCCACCGCACCCCATACCATCCCTGTTGAGGGGATGGATGCGAACAAAGCGAGGTTGGATCTGTGATCTATACACCAAATTCTTCTCCTCTAGATCTCTCAGCAAAGCCGCAGTCTCGGACACTAAGTATCCTTCTTCGGCTCTTTGAATCCTTCGCTCGATAAGCTTGCGGGTTTCCACATCCAACGGCATGGCAAAACAGGAATGAGGTTCAGCCAATCACAAAACTTGAAACTTGTTTGGGGAGGCGCTGCAGGCACCGCTCATGCAATGCAAACAATGGCAGGTGTCCGAAAATTGTCATGTCAGCTCATGGTATCTCACTCAAACCAGACCATCGACTCAATTACTAGACAAATCTCTCGCAAAACGCGATCAATCTCTATTCTTTTATGCTCGGTATATGCATCAAATGGTGAAGACCACGGCTAATTAGGCAAAACTGAATTTCCTCACTCAGACAAAGACTTTGCTACGTCAGCAATGGCTTTTCGCCACATGTACATGGAGCTTTCCCAAGACCTTTTGCTCCCATGGGCCAGTGGTCTCGGTGTATCAGGCATATCATCGGTCTTCAAGTCCTTGTAGGTCTGGTAGTTCGACATGCGCTTGTGTGCCGCAAGCACTCGCTCCCGCTTCTCCACCGTCGGGGATGAAGGGTGCATGGATGAAGCTGACACTACTCGATCAGTCCACTTTAGAAGCCCTGCTGACAAAACGCTGCGTGAATCCAACAGTTTTCTGAACTCACTCTCCAAACCTTGCACGTCTGAACGGCATGAAAATCAACTAAGGA